CTTACCCTAGAGTGACTCTTTGTGTGTCATGTTACTTGGTATCAGTAACAATTTGTGAGACAGAAGCTGGAAATATTAGTGCTCAAATCAGTCTAAAAGATGAATTGCACTTGATTATGAGGCAAGTGGAGCATATACTGTACAGTCCACCGAGGTGTGGTATATGGGGATAAGCAGATCAATCTCTTCTGCCCTTTCTTTTAATCTCTCTGTAACATGCAGCATGTCATGCCCTATTATAATTATTATACCATTCTGAGAATAGGTTTATTGCCAATGTTCCCCCTAATTTTTCTTTGTACAGAGCAGACTACAAATGTCACTGACCACTTCATTCTGACCTTGGGCAATCGTACCTGTGTGCATGGAGTGGGGAGGGGAATGTGTGTGCAGAGCATGGTTGTTACACCGACCCTTCCCCCCCGACAAGATGCATGGATGTGTGCGGAGCAGTGAGGGATTGCACGGAGGATGAAAGGTTTGGGGACAGTGAGGTTTGTGTGTGTGTGTGTGTGTGTGTGTGTGTGTGGATGGAGTGAGTGCTGTGAAGGGGGTATATGTGTGAGGGGGTGCTAAGGAGCATGTAGGGGCATAAGCGGGGGGTTGACTACGGGATGGGCATACGGAGGGGCTGATGTGAGGTACACAACGCGTGTGTGCATTGACTAGGGGGTGTGGGGGGGTGTTGGTGAGGGCTATATAGCAAGTGCAGGGGTTGAGGTGTGTGGGTCTTGTTCCTCACCAGAATCACACACTAGTCCCTCTAAAAGTTATCTCTGATACCTATGAGCAGAGGAGCCTGGCAGGACTGTGGGCTGGGGGTGGGGGTCAGATGACACCACTGTCATGCTGCTGCAGGGGTCCTGGCTGCAGCATCTACCTGCATGGCCACTCAACAGCAGCGATCTCCACATCCTTGGAAACCAGGTGTTGGCGGGTGGCTGGTGCTTTGGCCCCCATCAAGCTGCAGCTCTGCAGCTCCCACTGGACCAGCTAGCATTGCAGAGGCCAGCCAAGCTCCACACATGAGCTCCTGCACATGGGCCAATGCAGAGCCACTAACGCCTCAGGCTGAGCGCAGCATAGGAAGCGTTTCCACCACTGCAGCAAGCAGGATGGGGTGAGCAGAGCAGGTTCTTAAGTGGCCTGGCTGCACAGAGGAGCCTTGAACTGCATAGTTTCTGACCGGCATAGTATACACACGATTGCAATGCAGCCCTTTACAGGGAACACTGCCTGTCATCTATGCCTGTGACACTAATGTCGTTTATCAAGCCACCGGAGAGAAAGTTGTCGGTGGCGTAGCTACACAGGGATCGTACTTGCTTGTCAGTAGACAGTTAAAGAATTCTGCATTGTGGTCATGAAAGGTTTTAGATTTAGTTACTTGTGTTCCCCACTGAATGGAGAACGTCTTTGTGACAAAGTCTATTAACCCATGACAGATGTGCTCATATATTGGTATTCGTGGTAGACAACCAATACAATTTCCATCTGACAGCATTTCGTGCTTGAGTCTGCTCAGATAGAAGTAACCTGCCATTCAAGAGCTCGTAATCCCCAGACTGTGACTATTCTAGTTGTGTGCATGTATCTTTCATGTAAATGAAGTTAGAACCATGACATGTAAATCTATTTAGTAACCCCCATATTCATAATTGTTACCTGTGGGGAGAAACAGTTGTGGTTATCCCGCTTTTATTGATAAAGGGAGTGAACTAATGAGCTTGTGCTGTGTAAAACTTGTAGACAGAGTAAGTTGGATTTATTTTGGGCTTTAGGGGCTGTGCTCCCAGGTGCTGTCAAATCCCTGTAACTGTGCCCTCTTATCTGTGTCTGTGTTGCTTTGCAGGGGGGTGGTTACCTGAACTCTCTGCCTTTGCAGAGGAAACCAGTGCTTCTGGCTCAGCAGGACAACGTGGTGGGGCACCTCAGAGGGCAGGTGGGTGGCCTCAGAGGTATGATCAGGCCATCAGCTAACAGTCTCAAGGGGATCTTTGTGATCCGGCCTGTCAGATATGTTATGCAACTATAATATTTTGAGCATGCACTGTATTTTCCAATACAACATGCAAATATTTGGCACCATCACAAACTATATGACTTATGTGTGCTCCTAAAGTTAGGAGAGTCACATTCTTCTTCAAATAATGTTCCTATGGATTGTCACTTGCTTTTATGTTCCTATGGGTACCCATGGACCTTTGATTAGAAAATTTCAGCAGCATGTGTTCAGTTCATGCGGATGCCTCAGCTATTTCTGTGCCCCTTACCAACAGGGGTGTGACAGACAAAACATCCTCAGGTCCATAAGGTGCCTGCGTGTTTAGCTAGTTTAATGTCGTTCCTCTGTGTACTTATTCTTTAGTTTACCCAGTCCTAACAGACTAATTTAACTGTTTTTAATTGTTAATAGCTTAGTTTTATTGTGTGTGTGTGTTTTGGGCGGCATGGACTCCATCTTATTCCCTTTCCAGGGGGCCTTTCTTTCCCCAAAGGAGGTTTTTTTCCCTTGGGATATGCACAAATATTCAGGATTTACATGTTGCTTTACTTAACGGGATTCTACCAGTTAGTGCCGGCCATTCTCAGTTAATCCTCTGGGGAACCCATAGGGATATTACTTAGAGAAGGAGAGGTCACTATGGGTACGTCTAGACTACAGGGTTTTGTCGACGGAAGTTTGGTCGACAGATTCTGTCGACAAAACTTCTGTCAACATAGAGCGTCTAGACACATTCAGTTTTGTCGACAAAGCAAGCTGCTTTGTCGACAAAACCCTGTAGTCTAGATGCAACCCTACAGGCAATAACACCTTCTGTCGACAGAACGCTGTCGACAGAAGGTGTTATGCCTCATAAAATGAGGTTTACCAGCGTCGACAAAACTGCTGAGTTCTGTCGACGTTATGTCGACAGAACTCAGCGGTAGTGTAGATGCAGGTATAGTTTTGTCGACAAAAGTCCACTTTTGTCGACAAAACTCAGTAGTCTAGACACACCCTTTGACTACTTGTACATAGCGGAGATATTTTGGGATACATTTGGTATCCCGAAATAGCTATTCCGCATCTTAAGAGCAAGCCCATTATACTGAAATATAATGGGCTTGCTATTCTGACATTCCTGTAAACCTCATTGCAAGAGGGATAAAGGGCATTTCGGAATAGTGCTTTATTTTGAAATAACATCGAAATAAGCTACGCATAGCGCAAATTGCATAGCTTATTTTGAGGTGAGGGCGCTGTGTAGACACACCCTTACTTACCTTGTACAGCAACTGGAATCATGATGTTTATTTGTATAGCTTTTCCATCTTATGGAAGATGGAATCTTATCCCCTGCCATCTTATCCCCACTGCTTCAGCAGCTCATCTCCATGGAATTTTTGGGATAGAAGGAACTGGGGTGTTCTGCTGCAGCCCTATAGACTCCATGCAGGACACAAGGCTAGCTGGGGCGCATGTGTGGACCAAACAGGTTGCTGCTGCTGCTGCTAAGTTCTGAATGGAGGCATAAGGGCGTATGCACACCTGAAGTGGCACACCTATGGGAATGGAGCATTTCTTCCACCTATGCCAGTTACTGTCCAAGGGAAGTGACCTCTCTTCCCCCCCCCCCCCTTCAGAACATGACACATTTAGATCTGCCTGTTCAGGAAATTGGAGCAGTTGCTGTGATGCCAGTGAACTATGGCTGTGGTTTATCTACAAAAAAAGGATAAAAGATCAGAAGTGACGGCCATGCTAAAAGTCTGAATCTGCCAGCCTGCCATGCATAGAACTCCTCATGGAATCAAAGGGACTTCTGTATTTGGAGTGCTTGTGGGATCAGGCCACAGGAACAAGCCTTGACATGTGCTACTGATTGATATTGGTCCAGTATCTGAAGTGCAAGTCAACCCCTATGAGTGGCAATTAATTATCCAGATGACTCACTGTATTTTCTTCACCTCAATGGGAGCAGGAAAAGGCCCCCATAACATACATTACTGTGTCCTAAATCCAGTCAATACAATACAATTACTCTCTGATATGTCCTGGCATGTTCTCTGATTTCTATCAGGTGACTTGTTAATTACATCATGCCCAAATTCCACTCTAGTCAGCAAACCTTTATAGTGCTCAGACTGGCAAATTACAGTTGTCCATATTAGACACTGTGTACTGTGTGTCTGACTAGCTCTTTTTAAAAAAATCTGATGATGGGAGGGTGAATTCATGTTTTTTTTGAAGGGGAGAGGATTGTCCCAAAGTGAGTTTTTTCTGTTTTAAAACATAGCCATACAAAATAAACTTTAAGGTAGCTGCACTAGCTGCCTGCATTTTAATTCAGAAATTGTATTCTTCCTTGTAATAAGAAATACACATGGCAATATCTTTTACATAGTGAAACTGAGTTATTTTCGCTCAAGGAATGGCTTCCATATAAAGAGAGATTAATAAGAGTGGGATTTTTCAGCTTGGAAAAGAGATGACTATGATTGAGGTCTATAAAATCATGACTGCTATAGAGAAACTAGAAAAGGAAGTGCTATTCATTCCTTCCTATAACAAAAGAACTAGGGATCACCAAATGAAATTAATAGGCAGCAACTTTAAAACAAACAAAAGACGTATTTCTTCACACAGTCAACCTGTGGAACTCCCTGCCATAAGATACTGCAAAGGCCAAGACTATAACAGGGTTAAAAAACGACCTAGATAAATTCCTGAAGGATAGGTCCATCAATGGCTTTTAGCCAGGATGGGCTGGGATGGTGTACCTATCTTCTGTTTGCCAGAAGCTGGGAATGGGCGACAGGGGATTGGTCACCTGATGATTATCAGTTCTATTCATTCCCTCTGGGGCATCTGGCATTGGTCACTGTTGGAAGACAGGATACTGGGCCAGATGGCCCTTTGGACTGACCCATTCTTGTGTGCACACAAATATTTATTTCTTGGTAGCCCACTTAAAAACCTCTCAAAACTAATACACAGTACATACAGTTGGAAAAAGAAGATTTTTGGATATATATATATATATTTTATTTGACAGTGGTTTAGATTATCATACAGTAAACAAGATTTCTGTAAAAGTTAATTTATCCATAGTGGTGCGTTTCATAAAAATAGTTGCTCACTTACAGCCTTTCTGTGACTATTAATACATGGAATTATATTTATAGAGATAGAGCTGTACAGGGTAAATTCACAGCTAACACTACACAGAAATATTATTTGGAACGGGTTTCGATGATGTGCTGTCTTCACAGGTCATTGATTACAGCCGCATAAAGCAATTACTGCACAAGGAGTAGCTGTGAACTGTGCAAATTAGAGTTTATGCAAGCATAATCTCAATTGTTTTTCAGGGTTTATGATTTGTTTCATTATATAATAGAAAATAAGATACCAGGACATGCATCTACACTACCGAAGCATTGTCCAAAATCCAATTCAATACATTAATGACAAATTATATTGGGCTTCTAGTTCAGGGGGTAAAGATTTTTTTAATTAAATAAATGTTGTCAACAGCTACATAGATTTGTGCTTTTAAAAATATGATAAATGGAGTTTTTCTTAAAAAAAGGTTTAAAAGCTGCAAAATCCTTTGTTTCAGACTTTTAAAATAATTTGCTAGGAAGAAACATGGCTCCACATGTCTAAGGGGAGAATGAGTTTCGTTCAATATTTGAGAGCTATGGTTATTTCCTGACCTGTTTGATCTCAGTGTGACCCTCGAGCAGAGCACATGCAGATCAGAGATTGCTAGTATTTGGATGTCTGTGTATTTCTGAACACAGCATCACACAATTTTGTAAACAACCAGTGTATTATTGACCAGACTATTTTGGCCAAACTAAAAGTCTACTGGGTATAGAACTGTGACTCATGGAACGTGGAATCCTTCCCCAGGAAGATAGACTTGAGATTTGAAATTTGAGACAGAGTACGATATGGAAATAAAAGAAAGAGAAAATTCTTTTGATGAAAATATAAGAACTAAGAACTGTAACTAACTTGGAAACACGTCTCTTTTGTGTTTGTATGTGCATTGAACGTAAAGATATTTTAATTAATATAGCACTGTTGATAAGCAAAGTTATTGTTTTCTGTGAGTAAGAAGGCCTTACGTCAAGGAACCTGCAGCTTTTCTTCTTTTAAGAATCATCCTTTCATTATAAGGGTCTTGTAACTGTAAATCTCAGTTTTGAGCTTGACCAATTGAGGTTTCTGTGCTACCTTGTAATATTAGGGGAACCTGTGGTAAATCCCTTTTGAGGATAATCTGCAACTACAACTGCACCCTAACTCCTTTCCAATGTACAGAAATATGATTTGTTCACAAAATGGCAGTAGAAATGCTATCACACCAACTAATCCGTTAGATTCCCCAACTCATCCAACTCAACCCATGAAGTGAACTATGCTGTTGGGGATCATGTGGATTATTCCAAATTGTTAACAGTGGAAACATGTCATAGGTGTATAGTTTCAAAGAAACCTTTGCACCCTTGTCTAGATATGTTGAGAACAATGTATTTACAACCTCTTATCTCAGTTAAAATATCCTCTCTCAGTTTCAGCTTGCTTCGTGCAATTTTATTTAAGGCGATGTTCCAGTTTGTGAGTGCTCTAACTTGTTCCAGTTCCTTGATATAAAGTTTGAACTAAATCCAAGTCCTTCATGCAGTGGAATAAAAGTACTAAAGCTACACTGCACTGTCCTTCTCTGATGTATTGTCCTTTGTATTGTTTTGGTTTCTTCCATAGCTGCCAAAGTCCCTAAAATGGAACTGGGGACTTTAGGGTCAGTTTTAAATCTCCATGTTGACTATATGCTGCTTGAATTTATTAGACATTGTGCACATTATCATGGAATTACACATTAATGTTTCCATTCCTCAGTGTTTTTGTGTATATGTGTGATAGTTAAAATAAATTAAAATAAATCAATGTGAGACAGAAGCTAAGAAATATGTTCTGCATCAGTGTGAAACAGCTAGAGGGCAACAGTTCACTTATTTATCTGCTCATGGCAGAAGTGCCAGACTTCAGTACACTGGGCAGCTTATCCGAGCCTGGAATTTTCCATGGGCCTGGTGAGACAGTTGCCTTCCGAACTGTATTGTTGATGCTGCGATTGTTAATGGAATGGAGATGTCCCTTCCTGGGGAACTCACTGGGTTTCCCATCAGGGTCCCTCTTGTTCTGGTCCATATCACTTCCATGTGAGCTGCAGCTATTGCTACTGTACGTCTTTGTAGCACCAACTAAATCAAGCTTGACGTGTTCAGAAGCTGCAGCTGATTTCTTCTCAGTGATATTTCCAGATCTGTGATCTTCTTTCATATTGAGAGATCCACCTCTCTTGCTTTCTGGCTTCTTGGATCTCCCAAGATGTTCATCATTGATTCCGACATAAGCCTGCTCGCTTGCTCCAGCCTCGATCATAGCACTCTGTCCCATTGCCTTACTTTCGGAGGTGGGCCTGCCACCATCAGTGGGCTTTTTTTTGCCTTCTGAGTATCCTTTCCTAGAAGCCTCTTCATGCTTTGACTTGTCTATCTTTTTAGGACTTGCTGACCCTTCTCTTTGCTCTCCTAATCTTTTCTTTTTGTGGCCATTTGATGAAAGCTCCTTTGGTTTTCTTACATCATGTTCCCTCTTGATATCCCATCTTGGTTCTGAGTTTATCTGATGAGAAGGGTCAGAGGGTGGGGCCAGATGTGATGAAGATAATGGTGAGATTATGTCATCAAGGGAAATAGCTATTTCCGGCAGACCTGGGGAGGTGGCAGAGAGAGAACTCCAGGAGTTTGGTTCGTCTGTTAGAACAACAAAAAGAAGAGAGTTAAGGAATTATTCACATAACTGGGACCATATTCCATATATTTCAAACACCAGTTACACTACCCAAAATCCATATTGGTCCTAAATTCTGCAGTCCTTATTTGGGCAAAACTCCCACTGAAATCAATGGGCGTGTGGGAGGGAGAAATAACATCAACAGCTTTGCTGGAGTAAGAACTGAGGAATTTGGCACATTGTCAGTAGTGATAATATCTAGTGCATTGATTAAGTTTTAATTTTCTCTGCATATATGTTATGTAAAGTATAATAATAATGGCTTATGCTGGTGAAATCAAAATGTATTTTTGTGCCATTACAGTGGATTTCTTAGCCATATAATTGCTCTCTCAAAGGATAAACATAGAGGCCTTTCTGCTATCTGTTATACACATCCCTACAATAATATAACAGTCAGCAAAATTTGTGATCCAGGCCAGGTCATCCATCAAATTCAATTTTATGTAAACAACTGGAATATTGCAATGGTTAAGCGTCTATTATTCTAAAAGCATAACTAAAGTGTTCTGTCTCATGAAAGGACATACGGGCTTTGGAAAGTCTTGACTATGACCCTTGACTTTGTCATTTCCTCTGCCTCAGTAGAATTTGCTTACACTCTGTAGGTCCCATTTCCTTAAGATAGATGGTGCTTAAGATATGCTGAGCCACAAAGAAAGCCAGAGGCATCAGGCTCTTCTCCAGTTCACAGATACCCAGACCTACAAGCCCTCCTTTCACGAGTTGTCCCATTAACCTCTTTGGAACAACTCACGTGAACGAGATGGTGCAGGATGTGGCTCTTCACATGTGATTCAAAAGCGCTGAAAGCTGAGTTAATTAGACTTCAGCACATACATCCCAAACCACTAGCAAAACATAAAGGCTACGTCTACACTGGCCCCTTTTCCGGAAGGGGCATGTTAATTTCAGCTATCGTAGTAGGGAAATCCGCGGGGGATTTAAATATCCTTTGAAGTAGGAATAATTGCCTCCGGAAAAGGGCGCTTTTTCCGGAGGATCGGGGCCAGTGTAGACGCTCTTTTCCGGCTTTTCTAAAAGCTGGAAAAAAGCGGCGGACATTTTTATTTAAATGCCGCGGGGGATATTTAAATTCCCCGCAGATTTCCCTACTACGATAGCTGAAATTAACATGCCCCTTCGGGAAAAGGGGCCAGTGTAGATGAGCCCAAAGTGTCTTATCTCGGCCTGGCCAGTGTTTCTTTCTTTCTTTCTTTTCAAGTGAATGATCAGTATTTTTTTAAATTTCCCAATTTGAGACTCATTTGAATTGCTTGGCTTTCATCCTCTCCTACTGGGAGGACAGAGATATCTTTGAGCTTGGCTAATGTTGTCCCTTAATTACCACCATTTTGATAAGCTCAAAGTGCTGCCACAGATGAACAAATCCATGCAATGATGGGACCCAGTGTGAGGAGACAGTCTGTTTATTAAGGAGAAAATATTATCTCCTCTTGGAGGGTTAAGTCTGGGCTTCTAAAAGACAGCACTTACAGATCTGAACTGTTCCTAAAAATCTAGAACATTTCTTTTTCACAAGTAACATTGTGGCTTTTTTCATATCAATATAAGGATGCATATTAGCGTGCAAAGTGAAATGTACTTTATGCTTCAGTTTGGGATCTACAGACCTACTCAATGGAGATTGAAACAAGAAGTCCGGTGGCACCTTAAAGATGCATAAAGGGAAAGAAAAAGAAGTGGACAGTAGGAGTACAGAGATGGCAGTGTTATATTAAAACTAATTCAGTTAGGGTGGATGTGGATAACAAGGTGAGAATATCTAAGTGGAAAATTACTTTTGGTAATGAGTGAGCCATTCCCAACCTCTATTCAAACCCATTCTGATGGCGTACATTTAACAGAAGCAGCCTGTTTAATTATTCATTTCTTTTGCAAATAAAAATGGAAGAGATGGTATCGAGGTAGGTGATATAGTGAGAGTGAGCACCATTTATTTTCCCAGCTGGTGCCAGTCATGTTCTTTTGCACCATGAGTGTATCTGGAGAAAAATAGCATTTGAAAGTGTAAATTCTGTGTAAGCCAAACATGTTTTGGGCTTGAAATCCAACTGGGTCCATGGTCTCCACTGAATTTACAGCCCCTCAGGATTCAACTTTCATGCCTCCCAGCTCTCATGAATTTGCTTATGAAAAAATAATGCTCCACAGTCACATTGGCTTCTTCCAGACATCAATGGATTAATTTGTTGTTTATTGTTACTTTATAAGTCCCAGTAGGGTTAATGGGAATAATGTTTGGAAACAAGGAGCAAAGCATCCCCACTTGACTCTTCAAAAACCAACAAACAAAAAAAATTTGCAGTCTATCTGAGCCTCTTTTATCTAAATTGTTAGCTACGTTTCACTTCTTCAGCCCAAGTAATTTTCTGAAATATTTTAGTACAAAAACTATGGCTCTAAATGGCAACCACCTGATATTTTCCCCTCCTCATTACACCATAAATCTCTTAATTAATTTCCTACTAGTTCCCCCCTTAGGAACCAGTAGGAAAAACACTTTTCAAGTGAAGAGCCTATGTTCCAAGTTGACATGGGGGAGGGGGAGGGGGAAGAGTCAAATTCCGCATTCTTTTAATATGCGTGAAACACCACTGAAGTCAGCTAGGAGACCAGTCTATCGCCCAGAATGTAAAAAAGGAAACAGAGAAACAACTTAACTCTAAGTGTGCTCTTTTCAACAGTAAAAAATATCTCCTCACCGAAATTAAAGGTGATGTTGATCTTCAGTTGAATGCAACAGAACTTTTTGGCTACGTCTACATTGGCCCCTTTTCCGAAAGGGGCATGCTAATTTGACAGGTCGTAATAGGGAAATCCGCGGGGATTTAAATATCCCCCGCGGCATTTAAATAAAGATGTCCGCCGCTTTTTTCTGGCTTGTAGAAAAGCTGGAAAAGAGCGTCTACACTGGCCCTGATCCTCCGGAAAAAAGCCCTTTTCCGGAGGATCTCTTATTCCTACTTTGAAGAGCTTTTTTCCGGAGGATCGGGGCCAGTGTAGACGCTCTTTTCCGGCTTTTCTACAAGCCGGAAAAAAGCAGCAGACATCTTTATTTAAATGCTGCGGGGGATATTTAAATCCCCCGCGGATTTCCCTATTACGACCTGTCAAATTAGCATGCCCCTTTCGGAAAAGGGGCCAATGTAGACGTAGCCATTGTATTTTTATTTTACACTTGTCTGCAACACCATATTTTTTCACCAGTGACAGAGCACATTGGCCTATTCTGAAATCCCTAATTCCATATGGGTATGTCTACACTACAAAGTCAATTCGAACTAACAGATGTTAGTCGAATTAACTTTGATAGGCGCTACACTAGCGCTCCGCTAGTTCGAACTTAATTCGTACTAGCGGAGGGCTTAATTCGAACTAGGTAAACCTCATTTTACGAGGACTAACGCCTAGTTCGAATTAGCTAGTTCGAATTAAGGGTTGTGTAGCCACTTAATTTGAACTAGTGGGAGGCTAGCCCTCCCCAGCTTGCCCTGGTGGCCACTCTGGGCACCACCAGGGAAACTCT